GGTGTCATTCCAGGGGATTCAGAAGTGGTTCCTAGGAGATAGTAGGTGTCTCTGTTCTCAGGGAGTTTATAGCTTGGCTCAGGAGACAGACACATAGATAAATGACTGACAGAGTGCCCTAGGAAACCATAGCCACAGTGTTTCATGAATCATCACCTCCTGAACTCCAGAAGGAAGGCCTGTGTCTGGAAGTTGGTTGTGCTTGTGATGACTTAGTCTGGAGATGGTGCAGAGAAACACAGAGGTCTAGGTTTCTGATCATTCAGTTGGTGTCATGGAAAAGGAAGCTGGTAGAAGCTGATGGCCAGTTAGTGGTTGGGTAGCCAAGATTTGGGACTCTCGGAAGACCTTAGAAAAGCTAGGAGGCAATGAACTAGAATAAGAAACATTCTTCTTGAGGAGCAGTAAAGCATTCTGGTTAAGGGCACAGATGTGGGAACCAAGATACCCAGATTTAAATCCTGGTTCTAGCCAGCCTTGGGCAAACTATTTTACTTCTCCATGCCTTATCTGAAAGTAGAGATGATAACAGAATTTATTTCACAGGCTTGTTGGGAGGAGTAAACGAGTTAATTAATACTAGAACCATGTCTGACATCTGGTAAGTGGTCCACAAATATTATCTGTCATTACCTAGTGATCTGTTCTTCTCTTATGCCTTTAGCAGCTATCTCTCCTGCCTCCTTTAAAAAACACTGCAATATAAAATTATTTTACTGAGTTATATGACACCTTAAGCCTTTCTGATATATTTTCTACTTCCTTTTTTAGTCCCTGACAAGATAGTTTCTCAGAAATGCTAAAAAGAACGCTTAGCAAGTAAAATTTGACCTCTGAGCTAGAGAAGCAAAGAATCGCGAAAGAATATTTAATTAGATTGTTGCCAGACTATGGAGGAAGAGGAAAAGGCAACTATGATTAGGGAGCTGGGTAACACTTTTCTTTTTCTTTTTAAATCTATTTATTTATTCTTGGCTGTGTTGGGTCTTAGTTTCTGTACGAGGGCTTTCTCTAGTTGTGGCGAGCGGGGGCCACTTTTCATCACGGTGCGCGGGCCTCTCACCATCGTGGCCTCTCTTGTTGCGGAGCACAAGCTCCAGACGCACAGGCTCAGTAGTTGTGGCTCAGGGGCCCAGTTGCTCCGCGGCATGTGGGATCTTCCCAGACCAAGGCTCGAACCCATGTCCCCTGCATAGGCAGGCAGATTCTCAACCACTGCACCACCAGGGACGCCCAAGGGTAACACTTTTCTGAAGCCTGATGTAGATGGAGTCTGGAGTGTGGAAAGGAGTCCAGCCCAGAGGTGAAACTTTGGAAGCCACGTTGGCATCTAGATGATATTTAAAACCACAGGACTGGATTCATCTCAGGAGAAAATGCAGATTAACAAAAGATTAAAAACAAAAAAATCCTGGGAGGAACTCTGAACATTTAGAAGCTGGGCAAAGAAGGAAGATTAGGCAAAGGATAGTGGGAAGGACAGGTGGCCGAAGAGGGGTGAGGGCGTCTGAGAGAGGGTGGTGTGTGGCACCCTGTGGGGACAGTGCCCAATGCCAAGTACCAGGGGGGCTGAGAGGTCCCCTTCTGCTTAGCAACATGGAGGTTCCCCAGGACTGTGGCAAGATCAGCCTCAGGGCAAAGGTGGGCGCAGGAAAGAGGCTAGACTGGACAGTGAAGGGGAGGGGAGGGAGTAGAGACAGCAGTACTTACCAAATTTACATTTAAAATACTTATTAGTAAATACTTGCCAGAAGTTTGGCTGTGAAGGGAAATACAGGGATAAAGTGGTAGCTGGATGGGGATCTGAGATCCTAGACTTGTTATTTGTTCAAGATTGAGCATATGTGAGGGTGAAGATCCAGGAGAGGGTTAAATAAAGTGTTCCCCTGTATTGCACAAACACCCATGTTTCCTTTCTTAATACAGCCTGGTTCCAGTGCAGAGGACGAGCAATGTGGTCATGATGCCACTTACGGAAAATAAGATGGAAAATGCGTCACTGGCTGAGGTTAGCTGCCCCAACCTGGGACCTATCAGATACCCAGGGGTGGGCTCCAAGGCAGCTGGCTCATCAGCAGCTCCCAGGGGGCTTCAGGGAACAGGTCCGCTTGATGAGATATCCAGGAATAGACCATCTGCTTAGAATTTGCTTTTCCACCATGTGAAAAGTCAGTAAAGGACTAAAGTCCACTCTTTCACTGCATCAGAAATGCTGAATCTCAGTGGTTTCCATCTCCAGGGGTGGCAGGATGTTTGCAATGGGTCTGCGATCCATGGGTCCACCTGGCATGGTCTGTAGGACTCACACACGATTCTGCTACTGTTTCTCAAATACTGATTAATAAATGCAATTTCATATCAAACCTTCATTGTATCCAGAGTAGCTTTTTGTCACTTTTTCTTACTCAGTGTATACTAAAACAAAAATTACTTTCACGAGGAGGAGGCAATGTGCTTTTCTTTTAACATAAATAAGAATTTTCATTTTTAAACATACTCCTCACACTTTTACAACTATAGTATACAAACATCACTAATTTTCACTTTGGTAGGAGAATTTCCAACTCAAGGGCAGATTGTGAAGAGAAAAGTATACATTTAAATTCCTTGAATAGATAACTAATAAGGACCTACTGGATAGCACAGGGAACTCTACTTAATACTCTGTAATGATCTATATGGGAAAACAATCTGAAAAAGAGTGGATATATGTATATGTGTAACTGATGCACTTTGCTGTACAGCAGAAAATAACATGACATTGTAAATCAACTATACTCCAATAAAAATTAAAAATGATAAACCCCTTGATTTATTAATTCCTGTTCTAAGAATTTATTCTGTGGAAATACTTATACAGGTACACAAATATATACATATAGGAGTGTTAGAGTACAACTTAAAGTAATAAAAAATAGGAATAATACAAACACCTATTAACGGGGAATGTAAAATCTATATAATGTCAGCTCTTAAACAATGATATAGACCTAGATGTACTATGATAGGAAAAGGTCTCAGATGCATTTCACATAAAAAAGCAAGCTGCAAGGTGGTAAATGCAATGTGATTCTTTAAAAAAGTAAAATATATACACGTAAACACATCTGTGTATATATATGTATACATACATGTATATATATGTGGAAGAACTAGCAAAAAACTGTTACCCATGATTTTCCCTGAGAAATAGGACCCTAGAATAAATGTTCACATTCTACATTGTATGTTTCCTTATTGTTTGGCAATGATCAGGGTTTTAATTTTTGAATATTAATTATGAAAAATTTCAAGATATAGAAGAGCACATATAATAAATAATATGACACTTACTAACATTTTTTCACATTTACTCAGAATTTTTGTTTGTTTGTTTTGCAATGTTAGAGTTCCATTTGAAGACCTCTCCATTCCATCCCCTTCTCTCCCTCCCTGGAGGAAGAAACTGGCATGTGTGTCTTTTCCGTCTGTATGTAACACACATGTGCGTACCTGGAACACATGAGTATTGTTTCACATGCTCTTTAGGGCTTGTGACCTGTATCACACAGCAAGTCTCCTCTTACAACTGATTTTTTAATTCAACACTATTTTATCCATGATATACGCAGATCTAATTTGGTCCTTCTAACTGTGGGAGGGACGTTCATTTAAAGATTGAAGCAGATGGGTTCATTCTGGTGTGGGGTTATCTCTAGCTTCTTACTCTTGTAAGTGATGCTGTGAAATGCTTGCACACATGTCCAGTGCACATGCGCACACAGCTCCTTGGAGTACATGTGTCTGAAGCAGAATTGCCGGGTCCTAGTCTGCTGGCATTTTCAACTCTTTGCTCGTCTCTGGACAGGCTGCTCTCTGAAGTGGTGGCTGTAGCAATATTTGTTTACACTAGCAGAGTGTGCAAGTTACCCTATTCCCCCTGTGCGCCCTCCCGTCTTCATTCATTTCTTGGACTTCAAATTTGGTGTTAATATGATCGACATATATCGTTATTTCATTTGGCTTAATGTATTCAGTGCATTCAGAAAAACTCTGAAAAAATAAGCTCTCAATGTGTACAGGGGAAAAAAAGCAGTAGTTATAGATTTTACTCACCGAATTTCAGATTTATACTCATTGATGGTTTTTTGGGTTGTTTCAAGAGACTTAGGAGTTTTTGCTGGATTAAGGCCCATCTGAACAGCATTTCTTAGAGCTTGGAGCTAGAAAAGATATGGATACAAGATCTGAGTTAGAAGCTCTACTCCTTACTACAAGTGATGGGCTTGGACCCACCCACTTCTCCAGGGCAAAATGATGTCAGCAACCTGTGAAGGGATGTGCAAGCATCCAGCCATCTCCATGCTTTCACTGAAGTGAATTTTGACAGACAGCTATTGCTTCTATTAAAAAAAAAAAAAAAAAGGAATAATAAAGAACTGTGTGTGTCCATCCTTGTTCTGTGGCCCAGACCCAGCTGCTCATGACAGATGCTACTTTTACTCTACTGTCTCAGAAACAAGTTTTCTTTCAAGGTGGGGTGGGGGTCTCTCTGGGGCCTGGACATATAATGACATTCTTGTGATCTAAAGAGAGCAATAAAATTATAGACCTATAGGAGGAGATATTGTGGAGTTATCTCTTATTTGGGTAGTAAGGTTTTAAAGTCAGGGCAAAAGTTGTCTATAGTCAAAACTACCCATGGAGATCCCACGGGACAGTGTCACATTAGAAGTAAATCCAAAATGGGTAGACATTTCCTTACGCTGAAACAACTGACTTGTTTAGGTACCATGTTAGGGTAAATTACATATAACAATGAGAATGTCTCTAAGGACACAGAGATTCTCAGGCCATGAATGATCTCATCATATGAGATCACGTAAGCAAGACACAGCTACCTACTGCCAGTGGGCGAGATCCCTTGCTCTGTTTGCAGGAATCGTTCTTTCAACCAAGTGTGCACCACTGAATTTGTACAGGTTAAATGTACATGGTCGTATCCTTTCTTTTGCCTCTAGGTAGGTCAACACATCATATCCTAGACAGAGGGAACATGAAGGAAGCACACGAGCATTTGCTGCTAGAAGGTATTTTTGTTGTTTGGGCTCCTCAGGAGAACCAACCCCCTCAACAATTGGCATGGAAGAGATCACGGGTACCTTGTCGGTAAGAAATTGTGCCTTGTGTCTCTGGCGTCTTGCAAGGTACTGGTCATATAACTGGGCCAGTTTGGCTGCCAAAACATGTTCTCGGCTAAAACAGGGATGATGTGTGAAGATTAACCCCAAAATATCAATGTCCAGTTGGAAATTTCCAGGAGGGTCTCCAGATCCAATCAAATGCTGACTTCTGTGGATGTATTTTACTGCCTGCCAAAGAGAGCAGAGTGTAGGGGAAACACAGTTAAAGCACTTCCTAGATACTGATCTGATGTGCAACGGGAAAAGTCAGATGCAAAATATTTCCTACCCTAATCAAGCCAGGAGAACCTTGCTCCATTCCCTGTTCCCTGGGGTTTTAGGGGCCTGCCCTTTTCTGAACACTTGAAAAGTAAAATGAAGGACAAGGAGTGAGAAAAGAAATCATTTCAATCTTGCTTTCCTAGGTCTTTTAGGGTTTATCTCTACTGAGTCATTGCCCTAATCTTTGTCATGCGACTATCCCATTTCCTGGAAATCTTGGGCTTTGCAGCTGGTGACCTTGAAATTCTTTTAATGAGAGAAGCATAGATTCTAATCCAAACTGATCATTATTTGGATCATAGATATACTCTCCACGTGGAGAAGTTTTTAGTTTGTAGACAACAGCCAGAGACTAACATACTGAACCGAGCTTCAGGCGGGCACCTAGTTTTCCTGGGAAGAAGAAAGTCAGTCTGCAAAATAACAGAGGAAGAGATAGTTGGGGCAGCTGAGTGTGTAGAAAACAGGAGTGGAAATTTCCACTGGGACTTTCCTGGATCACTTGGTGTACAGTGTGTCAGATAAATCTCTGTTTTTCTTCCTTAAACTCATCAAGATATTCTATGTTGATCACTGCTGCTTGTAGGTGACTAGTTTTGGAGGTTGCAGAGCTCCAAGGTGGGGAGGACACCTTTTTGATTTTGTGTCTTCATGTTCTCTCCTTGTCATAGACATTGACTACAGTCAGGATGTGGGGTTTGACACACTTCACTCGATCCTCCCCTTTGCAGAGAGGAGTTTTTGGAAGCTATTTATGTTATCTAGAAAAGATTATGTGGCCCAAATGTATTATTTATAAGTTATGAGGTAAATTGGAAGCTGCAAATATTCTAGTCAGAAGTGAAGCATCTATCCGATGTTAATTGCGGGTAACGTGTTCAGGAATCTCTTCATTTAATTCGTCTTCATGGTATTATGTAAAGATGCTGAACTGGGGTCAGAAGCCTTGGATTCTAGCTGTGGCTCCACCTCTAACTTGCTCTGGAACCTTGGGCAAGTCACTACACATCTCCGTGCCTCTATCTCTTTATCGTACAAATGGGAGGCTGAGGAAAAAGATCCAGTTGGCATTTTGTAGGTCACTAGGCATCATATAAAGCACTTCACACATATCACTTGGTTCATTCTGTTAGGGAACTGCTGGCCATTAGACAAGAGCCCATGCTTGGGCCCTGGAAGGGGTCCCCCTTCCTGCAACAATTCCATAGAGATTTTTGGTTGCCTACAACGTAGTGAGGCCTGTCTGCGAGCAGCAATAGATTGAAAGGGGAAAAATGGGGTGTGATCTTTATAACTTGGGGCAGGAAGGATGAAGTCTGAGATGTGCAGAGGGAGGGATGGAAACTGGAAGAGGGGGCTCCAGAGTTAGAATCCTGCATCACAAGATCCTAACATTCTCCCCATCAGACTAAGTATGGAAAACAGGTCACACTGTGTGTATGTATATGTATACATGTCCAGAAATGTATTCTCATGTTATATAGTGTGATCTGCTTTTCAGTTACTATTAGTCATTGAAATAGTGCCAGTATTTGCACTTAGAGTAAAGCATATACACATGAGTCTTCATTTACCAGTAAATTTGTTGTTGGGTTGTCTTGTTGCCTGCTTTGTACCAGTATTCACGAGTAAGGATATATGAGTATATTTCCTTTTAGCCATTCAATTTCATACTTATTTTCCCCTGAATTAGTAGACAATTAATGTATATTTAGAACTTATGATTTCCTATAGGACGCCTGTACAGTGTACCCTATGTTTTCATAAAAGGATAAGTTTTTTCTATAAAACAACATTGTCTGTTTTTTTGATGAGAAGACCTATAGATTTTTTATTTTTAAAAAATGTTCTTGTAAAACTGGGATGTGTTTACAAATATGCTATGCTTGAATAAGAATGCATTGACTATACCTCAGTACCTTCCAAAATATGCTGAATTGAACTTCCATTTGGATTTACAGGGAGGAAAGCCCATCCCGACAGGGGTCATATTCCAGTATTTTGTACCTTATGAAAGTCCTAATTTTGACATTAATATCCTTACACTTCACACCGCAACAATGGAGGCCCATCTCTTTTCTTTCATTCAAGCAAAAGTATCCAGTTATAACCTGCATTCATGTTAGAGGCTTTTAATCTTCATGTGGTGACTCTGTGTCTTACTGTCACACTGACCACCTGGATGAATTTAAAAATTCCCACCTCACAAAGATGTGTACCACTAAACATCAATCCACAGACCTGACGGAAAATTCCTCTGTAATTGTCTGGCTCCTGCTGGTCCTTGCTTTGCTGTTCCTCTTACCATGGGTTGCAGAGTTCTGAAGTCGCTCAGGGTGTGGCCCTCAGGTTCCATCTTGTACTCTTCTTAGTATGAGTAAGTAATGTCGGTAGTATGGTCCTAATGTTACCTAGGTCAGCTGTACTTTGTGTCTCCTCCCCCAAATCTTCATTAGCCCATGTTTAAATGATTGCTGCTGGTCTCTGCCTTCAGCTCAGCTCAACCAAGTGAAAAAGCTTCCAGGACTCCTGGTGGGCATTGGGTTAGACTGCTCAAAAGACCCCCAACTCTCTTCCTATTAGGGAGAAAGACCCCTAGTCTCTTGTCTTTCTTTCTGTTGTATCTGTTTTCTTTTCTGAAAACTATCATGAAAACAGTACAAAAACTTTCTCCTAAAAATAAATAATATTTATAAGGTATATTATTTTAATTTTGAAATTGATTTGATTCTTCAGTCTTCAGTGGAAAACTGAAAACGCAAACTATTAGAGGTGATGTACATGGATTATGCTGATGTTCTCAGTGTGTTCAGAGTTGCTTGCCGATGGAGACAGAATTTTTAAGGTTGGACAGAAAAAGAACAATCATTGGTGGAATTAAAATAAAAGTTTCTATATTTGTCCTGGGAAAATAATAGCAACAGAACCTGAATCCAGCCCAGAGCCTGCAGTAGATTCTATAGCTGTTGTTCTGGTCTTCTCTGGGAAGCTTTCTCATTCTCCATCTTCTGGGTATATCTCTACGACATGAGGTTGGTGCGGGGGGGGGCATATGTCCCACTTAAAACTGACTAGTTTGTCCTTGGTGTTGATAATGTGAACCTTGGGGAAAGATATGATCCCTTTCCTCTGGAGTTTCTAAGCTTAGGTTATCAAGGGTCCTAACACATGGAGAATTCTGGCCTGCCTACAACAGGAGAGAAGGAGACCAGTCAACATTCAAGGAGAACCAGGAGAAAGAGAGGCAGAGAGAGACACCTGCTGGCACAGAGTCCCCGGTCCCAGAGTCCTAGTTCCTAAAGCCCCTCCTTCATTTTGTGATTTATCTCCAGATCCTTCCCAATTTTGTAAGCCACCAAGTTCTCTCTTTGCTTAAGCTAGTTTGCAGTGGGTTTCTGTCACTTGCAACCCAAAGAGTGCTGACTACTGCAGTGCTCATTACACAGTAGGGGACCAATGCTTCTGTGAAAAATGGCTGAGAATAGTGGAAGGGGAAAGTGATAGTTTTATCATGTTGTGATTAACAAGGAGGTTGGAATTATGCTAAATTCCTCAGATTAGTGTGCAGTTTTGAAAAAAGAGGAGGCAGCTACACATATGTCCCTGGGAATGCCATGTTGACTTCTAATCACTGTGCCTTTAACACTTGATGACATTTCTGTCTCCCCCCACTAGGCACAAAGTCTCTCTAAGGCCAAGTTTGAATGTTGCTACCTCTGAGTTTCCAGAGTTTAGCACAACTAAGAATATAGTAGACTCAGTTGAGGACGGAAAGAATTAAAAAGAAAAGAAGAAAGGCAGGAGGAAAGGTAGGATGGAAGGCAGGAGGAAGGAAGGAAGGAAGGAAGGGAGGGAGGGAGGGAGGGAGGGAGGGAGGGAGGAGGCTGTTGGAACAGCTTTCAGCAACCCTAAACTTACTTTGCTATTATGCTTAAGCAAACTGCATAATATTGTTTATGTTTTACCTGCAATGTCTCATTTGGAATTTTTATTTTTTATTTTTGGGTTAGTTACTTCTTACGAGGTATTAAATTGAAATCTTTCTCATTTGAGGTTTAACTTTGTTCTTTGCACAATATCTAATCTTTTTGCATTTCTCTATCTTTAATGGACTCTAAAAAAGAATCTCAGTTTAGTAGCAGCAGAATATTTCGCTTTTAAAAACTACTTCTTTTCCCTCTGTAATTAAGGAAAATGTTCAAAGAAGGAGGGCTGAATACCAACTCCCTTCTAAATAAACCTCCTAATTTATCTAATAGGAGGACATACACTCCCTCATTTGAACTGGCAGTCTAATCAAAGAAGAGCCAGGCTTGACTCCCATCCAGGATGGGTTTGGTCAGTCCTGCTGGGTTAGCATCAGACCTGAGAGCTCTGAAGTGTAAATTCATCAATTGCCAATTCCTGGTCTAGCACACCGACTTGGTTTTCCATCATTTAGTTGCCAGGATGAAGCCAGGCTCTAAGAGGGCTACTGTTTTATAGGAGAGACAGCCGAGTTAAGGAGAGGAGTAGAAAACAAGGAATTTCTTCTAGATTCATTCAGCTCAACTAAGTCATTTAAATGATATTCAATTCACACTTTTACTAAGGCATTCCTACATGCCAGGCTTCCTGACAAGTGCGAGGGTTAGAAGAGGAATAAAACAGTATTTGCCCTTTGTTACTCTCAGGGTAGTGGAGGAAGGAGAGCGAAGATAGATT